CCCACCCCTCCTGCTGCAGGGGCTGGGCCCCGTCCCATTGGCTCACTGTCCATTGTGCCAGGATCACACTAGTGCATTCACAACAGCTCTCACCATCTCCTGAGTGCCGTCAATCCCAGCCAGGGAGGCGCCATGGGAACTGCAGTAACTCTGGCTGGCCGTCCAATTCCTTTCTTCCTCGGAGAAGAAGTAACATTGCCCCTGGTAGCCGACCCAGCCGTCCGGGCACGAGGGGATGTCTGCGTAGTCCAAACACGGCCCCGCTGTTCTGGCTGAAACGGAGAACGTGACACAAGGTCAGAGGGCGGGCCGTCCCCGTCTCAGCTCAGTAGCCAAGGGAAAGAAATAGAAACGACCCCCTTACAAAGTCTCAGAGAACCCCCTAACTGCTTGGCAGCAGTGATGGCCGTGACAATTTCAAGAAGACATGCAGGACATGATCTCACCAGCCAAAAATGTAACAAATGAACGGGGGTGGCGAACGCATAAGAACATAAAAACGGCCACACTGGGTCAGGCTGAAGAATCATCTAAGCCCAGAGTCCTGTCTGCTGACAGTGGCCAATGCCAGGTGCCCCAGAGGGAATGAACAAAACGGGATCATCTCTCCTGTCGCTCATTCCCAGTTTCTGACAAACAGTGACTAAGGACTAGTGTTCCCTCTAAGCTAAGCTCTTGTGCGGGCACCAGGAGAAATTCAAATCCCACACAGCTAATCAGGAGAGTGTCCACAGTGCCCAGAGCCAACAGCAGGTGTTCCTACTAGTCGTACACATCTGCACTTGCCTTGGTGCACAGAACAAAATGTATTCTGCACCTGGACAGAACTGCTTAGAGGGACTATTGCTAGGGACACCTTTCCTACCCATCCTGGCTAATAGTCATTGATGGATGTATCCTCCATGAATTTATCTAGCTCTTTTTTGAACTCTGGTACAGTCTTGGCCTTCACATCATCTTCCAGCAAGGAGTTCCACAGATTGACTGTGTTCGTATGAAGAAATGCTTCCCTTGGCTTGTTTTAAACCTGCTGCCTATTCATTTGATGACCCATAGTTCTTACGGAAGTAAAATAACTCTTCTTTATTCACTTTCTCCCTCATGATTTTATAGACATCTATCATACCCCTTCTTCATTTCTTTTCCAAGCTGCAAAGTGCCAGCTTTATTAATCTCTCCCTATATGGCATCCCTTCCAGACCCTTAAGCATTTTTGTTGCCCTTTTCTAAACTTTTTCCAATGCCAAGATAACTGTTTTTGAGATGAGGCCACCACATCTGCACGCAGTATCAACATGAATGCATACTCTGGATTTATATAGGGGCAATAAGAGACTTGCTGTTTTGGCATGGGATTCCTTTAGAGCTAAGGCCGGCCCTGGTCCAGCTCCCTTTCCATTTTTCAACCAGCATAAAAAACGAAGCATGAGGCAACAGGAGCTAAGAGCCAGGCAGCCCTTTGGCTAAGCGTTCCCTAGCGGCGGCGGCTCTCCCAAACCTCACAAGGACATCAGTTACAGCCCTGCACAGAAAGCCAGCCAGCTCCAGAAAATGCAGAGAGGGAATCGGTAAGAGCTGTGCACTCACCTGCTAGGACCGCTGCCGTGGCGATCAAAGCCGAGAAGAGGAGTGTGAACGGGATTGCTGCGGCGAGGATTTTAACGGTTCGTGTCTTATTGAATTTATGACCTGAAAGAGACCAACATATGAACTCTCCTGGAGCTGCTGGGGGTGGGGGAGGGAATCAGACTGATTGATTGACCATAGCCCCATGCAGAGACAGAGGGGAATTTGCACATTCCGTAGTCAAGCAAATGTAACTAGCTACAGAGCAGATCCAAATCCGTAGCTACCTTTGAATATGGGCTTGTGAATTTCCTCCAGGGCTTTTCAACAGCACTGATCACTCCACAGGTTCAACCTCTTTAGTCCGGCACTCTGTGGTCACAACCTCCGTGGTCCGGCGTGATTGTAATTCACCAGATGTCCCTTACCTTGGGTGTGGCCAAGTTTCCCGTGGTCCCACAAAGTTTGTTTACAGCACCAGCCCTGGCTCTCCGGGTTCTGTGCTGTTCTTTAGCTCTAATTTGGCCCTAAATGTCTTCTCAAGAGCCCAGCAAGCAGTGGAAATGTTGATGCTGCTGCCAGACAATATTGACTTCCCATGGTCTGGCAAACTTTCTGTTTTGGGACCGGTCAGGTCCCAAGGGTGCTGGACTCGAGAGGCTCAACCTGTAGTAACTCGGAGAGAGATTTAAACATTAGAGACCAGCATGGAGCAAGCCGACCTGCCTGCTACCCGGCTGCACTTTGCTGTCACGTCCCAGCCACGCAAATAGGGATAGGCAGCCCTGAACTAGAAAGGGAGAAAACGAGGGCTGCAATAAGCGGGATGCAAATGGCAGGCCCACCAAAGGCCCCTGTCTGCAGGGAAAATAGTAGCAGTAGAGGCAAAGCAAGCAACGGTGCTCATAGGACACCCACACAGTGATCAGCTCCCTGCTGCAATCACAGCCAGATGTTGTGGGAGATGAAAAGACGGATGCATTTGCATAAGCCGTGGTGTTTCTTGTGGGCAGAGGGGCTCCCCCTACCTGGCTCCCTTCCTTGTAGAGGTCCATTGCTGTTAAGGGGTGTAGATAGCTGTTCCTCCTTACAAGTCTGGGAGCCATTGCACATCCTTCGATGCTCTGTGTCATGCTCTGGGAAAATAAAAACAGTTCTGTTTGAACACACTGCCCACGATACCAACAGATGATGTTACCAAGCAGCAAGAGGGAAAAGATTTTCTAGGGGGTGTTCCCTTGGTGCATTGTTTTTCCACTTACGTTGTTATTCGGTGTCTGCATTACAATACAGCATTGCTGTGACGGACCGGGCTGTGTCTGGGCACAGCTGAGGGCGTCCGCTCAGGGCGAATTGCTTAAATCCGGGGCTCCTTACAGCCCCCCTGACTGGTGACCTCTCCAAACAGGCCACAAACCAGTTTCACAGAGCGCTTCAGCTGCCTGCCTGAAGCCTCCCGAGCAAAACCCCTCCGACACCCTAGCAATATCCGTGCCCCAGATGGCCCCGGGCCTATACACAGGTGGGGGGGTCCTAGCACCCAATCCCACCTACCCCGAACAAGTTCTGTCCGGTTCCAAGAAACCAGGCACAGATCCCTGGTCAATTTACCCTCTGGATCTTACCCACAAATCACGCTGGGCCAATCCTTTAGAATCTAAAACTAAAGGTTTATTATCACAAGAAAGAAAAGCCTGAGAGTAAGGTTATTAAAGTCCAGCACGTTACATGCACCGAATCTCCCAGTTCTCGATGCAGGCTCTAGCAGAGATGTACAGCTGCTGGTTTAAAAATTCTTATTGCACATCCTACGATCAGGATGGGTCCACAGGTCTTCCGGGCTCTTCAATCCCTGCAGTGCTGCCTCTGGGATGAAGTGCTGAGCTGAGAACAAAATGGCATCAACCACATGGCCTCTTTATACCTCCTTCCTGGCCTCTTCTTGTATGCAGCAAGTCACCTGGTCAGAGGCCAATCTCTATGTTCCCTGCTGGCTGCCCTCAGGTGACAAACCCCATTCTTTGGGTGTGTCTTTGGCCCATCAAGTGCCATTGTTCTACAGGGCTTCGCTACTCAGCCTGTCCATAGCAATGCTTAACCACATTCCAAGAAATATTCAGCTTCCACACAGATTCCTACCTACACACACAGACATTATACACTCACATAAATAGCGTACATAAGATCAGCAAACAACAAGCTCCCATTCAATACCCCACATGGCTCCCTTTTATACCAATTTCTGGGGCCAACACCCCCACCTAGGGGTGCAGCAGCGATCTGGCTGCTTCCCTCCAATTCGGTAATGTGACACACGGTACCAACAGATGATGTCACCAAGCAGCAAGAGGGAAAAGATTTTCTAGGGGGTGTTCCCTTGGTGCATTGTTTTTCCACTTACGTTGTTATTCGGTGTCTGCATTACAATACAGCGTTGCGCACACATCACAAAAAGCTGTTCTCTGCCCCCAGGAGCTTACAATTTCAGGGCTGCTCTACAGGTAAAATGCTGCACCAGTGCAGCTGTGGCGTGTTAATGAACATGCTTCCAGCCAGGGATTTTCAAGCAGCGGCACATGTACCCCGGGGGGTACTCAAAGGTCTTGTAGAGTGGGCAACCAGCAGCACATCGCGGTTCTACTATCCTACGTTGCCCACCGCTGTCCAAAGAGGCAGGGTGCCTCAGAGTGACTTTTAATTAATTACCTTTGGTCCCACTCCACAACGGAGACCAGCGGAGCTAAGTTACTATTTTCCAGCCAGGGCGGTCGGACTCTGGGCTGAAACCGAGGGCCAAACCCTGCTGACGGGGCTGAAAACAGGTAATTTAACTTCACAGGCCCTAATTAATTAGCAAGCTGCTTCCAGCCTCTAATGCCAGCCCTGACGCTTATTCAGAATTTACTGAATGAGAGTTCACAGAGTCATAGAAGATGAGGGTCGCGTGGGGTCTCAAGAGGTGATCTCGAGCAGTGTTTCTCAACCAGTGGTACCCTTAGGGGTACTCAAGAGAAGTCTGGGGGTACTTCAACACAACTGACATTTGGGAGGTGTCTAGACTACAGGGTTTTGTTGACAAAAGTGGACTTTTGTCGACAAAACTATACCTGCATCTAAACTGCTGCTGAGTTCTGTCCTCCATTGCCTGCCCGGCTTCAATTAAGTTGTTTAAACAAATGTGTTGCAACCGTAAGGGGAAAAGAAATGCGTGTCTGAAAACTGTAAGTACTGGGGGTACTTCTAATTTTATTTTTTTAAAGGGGTACTGTATAAAAAAAAGCTTGAGAAACACTAATCTTGTCCAGTCCCCTGGAAGAGTTTAATGGACACCGTTTTCCCAAGACTTAGTGGGAGAGGCTGTTGTATTCATTTTGTTTTGAGTCCTAAGAGGTTCATT